GGTCATGACATTGTTGTCCTCTGTGTCCTGAAAGGAGGCTATAAGTTCTGCGCTGACCTGGTCGAATTCATCAAAGTCCTCAGCCGAAGCTCTGACAAATCCCTTCTGATGAGAGTCAATTTCATCAGACTAAAAAGCTACTGTGTAAGTACAAATCAGAACAGTTTATTACTTTCACATCTGCACCCTGCTGCCTGTGGTCATTTTCTGGATATTCTCTTCAGAAAACAAAATGTAGAAAGAAATGTCCACAAATGCATGAAACACACAAGACAGGCAATTTTTAAAAACAATATTTTTACCTGTTGAGGCAATTGGCATACAATAGTGATTTTATTGTTACAGTAGTAACACATTTTGCGGATTTAAGTGAAGATGGCATTTACATCAAAATTCAAAATCAAAATCAGCAAAGGTGTACTGTATGTGTTGCAGAAGAACACATTTTATATCAAAAGACATAAATACTCTTGAGTGCCTTTGTTGCATAAGCACTAAATCACACCAGTTGAGAGGACTGTTGACTGGGAACAGATGGTAATTTAAACTGTTGAATATCAAGCCTGGTGAAAATCGTGTAAGAAAAATACAGAAGGTTGTCCAGATGTTCTGCTTATCCAGAGAACAATACCTCTATACACTTGATGAGTTGGTGGCAAGGTGAAGTCACATCAGGAGACTTGCCCGGCATTCGATCAAAGACCCCTTCAGTGATGAATCGCTTTTTGTCAGCAAGTGTGGAGAACACATGCAGAACACTTCACTCATTGTTGTGCACAACAGGCCAGCCAATTGGAAGTTCGGTGATGGTTTTGGCAGGAGCCTGTAGTCTTCACAGAACTCCACCTGTAAGGACTGATGGCAGCCAGACTGCATGGTGTTCTACTGAACAAGTCCTGGGACCTCACTTGCTGTGTGCCTGGCAGGCACATCCTGATCAAGCAACATTCCAGCAGGCCAGCATGTATTCTTTGTGCTACTTGAGTAACTACAGCCTAGACAGCAAACCTGCTAGGTTTATTTGCACAAGCAGTAGATGCATTGAAAACTTGCCACATGGTGTGAATGGATTTCGAGAAAGCCTTTGGTAAGGTTCGATTTCAAATGTGAATTCTAAAATTGAAAGCTGTAGGAACCCAAGGTAATAAGAGGTTTAAGGCAGCAGTGTGGAGGAGGAGTTAGGGCTTTGGACTCAGAACTGGGAGACTTGTGTGTTGAAATCCTGGGTGAGGCACTACTCCAGGGAACAGGTTCGAATGTCTGTTGTTATACGTAAAACTGTCAGCGAAATAAACTGATAATCATGTGTATGTAGAGGTTGAAACCTGGATAATGGGTAGAAATTTCATCTAGGACTAAATATATACAAAGGGTTATGGTGATCAAACTTCTGAGCTGATTGTTCGGATCCGTCACGAAATGGTCAAGAATCTATAGTATAATTGATAAGGTATTAGTACCCAAGTGATCAATGTGAGTTGAAAGTCCTCTTTTCTTCTGTCTTTTATAAGTGTATATACCATAAAAAGATAGCACTGGTAGATGAAAGACTACCATTTGAAATGAGCTAGCTGTACAAAAACTAACAGATGTATTGATGTCAGAAACACACCAGGATCAATGATAATAATAATTGCTTACACTTACATAGCACTTCTCGGGACACTCCACTCAAAGCAGTTACAGGTAATGGGGATTCCCCTCCACCAGCACCATCGTGCAGCCCCACCTGGATGATGCAACAGCAGCCATAGTGCACTAGTACACTACCAACACACCAGCTCTCTCCCATCTCTGAACTGAACTGACTGAACTGCTGATAAACCTGTTCAGCAGAGAACAAAAATGTTTAAGAGAATTTATTCAACTATACATGGATCTTGGGATGTATGATCCTAAGGTTTT